GCCAGCCCCGGCTCTCATCACCACCACCTACCACCTCTCCCCCCACCCACCTCACACAGAAGCCCTCGTCCCTCCTCCGAGCTCCTGGAGATTCACCCACTCATCTCCTCCGTGCACCCACCACTGACCACCCGGGTCCAGGCCTGGCTCCTTGCTTCATGGATGGGTGGAGGCAGTGGCAATATCTACCTAGGTGACAAGGTCAAGTCCTCGGCACAATAGGGCGGGGCAAGGGCTCCAGGCTGGATGACCAAGTGCACTGCAGAGGGCCTGATTTCCACCTGCCCCACGGTCCTGGGCTTTGGCCGCCCACCTCCAGGTGTGCAGGGGCCCTACAGAGAATTCAACAGCACGGAACGCCCCAGTAACAATCTCCCGCACACATGCAAAGCTGTTCTTCCACCCAAGACTCACATCAGGGTTGCGTGCCCTATTTTACAAAGAGGATGCTGCGGCCCTCAAGAGGCTAAGCAAAAGTCAGCCTGATTGGGAGCCCAGAGCCCTTCTCACCAAATCAGCAGCTTCCAAGCACCTCTGGCCCTCAAACCTGAGATGAAGACTCAGGGAAGAGGGTAAGAATGGGCTGTGAGGTAGGGCTTTGGAGGGAGGGTTAACCTGGGGACACGAAAGACACTAGAAGTCCTCTGATTCTTCCGCTTCAATCGACACAGGAGGAATCTGAGGCCCAGGTAGCGTGGAAAAGGCCAAGGCCAGAATGTGACCTCAAGGGAGGGGCCAAGTAAGATGAAAAGGGGAACTAGGGCTGAACAATTAGCACAAGCCAGGCTGGTCTGAGAAGGGAAGCTGCCAGCCCCAACCAGATCCTCTCCTATTCAAAGTTGGTCTCAGGTACTCCCTTTTGTGGGGCTGGCCTTGGGTGTCTAATGATGACACAATGCACAGTGACTAAACTTCAGAGGTGGCTTGAGCCAACCACCCATGTGTAACCTAACTACTTTTGTCATTTCCTAATGCAGGCTGTCTTGCCTTGGCTTGGATACCTCTAGAGATGGGCAACACATGGCCTCATGGGCCAGCTTCATATTTAATCAGTGGGTTAAAAAAACATCTCAGGGATGCCTGGGTGGCTCAGTCTGTTAAGCGTCTGCCTTTGGCTCAGGTCATGATCCCAGGGTCCTGGGATCGAGTCCCGCATCGGGCTCCCTGCTCAGCAGGGAGTCTGCTTCTCCCTCTGTTCCTCTTTCTGGCCCTTCCTCTCCTCCCCTTGCTCCTGCTCTCTCTAAGATAAATAAAATCTTTGAAAAATAAAAAAATAAAAAGCATCTCTAAAGGATTATGACTTTTTTGAGCCCCTGTTTCTCTACCTATAAAATGGAAAGCTTGAACTGGGTCGCTAGCTTCCCCACTGGGTTCCATAGAGCCCTGGGGTTTTCAGGAGCTACTCTGAAGCTACTTTTGGGATGAGAGAGGCAATGGGGGCAGAGAATGAGGCCCAGGCAATTCATGGGCATCTGGGTTGTGAGGTTCTATGGACAGCTATACCTCCATCTTGGAGCCAGAACCTAATTCCTGTGGGTGACACAAATGGGAGTCTGTGGAGAGGGAAATTGAGGCAGACAGAGGGAAGAGATGAGAGGAGCACCTGAGAAAATGGGTACGCTTCTCCCCACCCTCCTTTGTAGCCACAGCCTATGGGGCTGGGCTGAGTTCTCTGTTCACAAAAGCACACCTCCCCAAGCACTCCCTCTACGCCCCACCTGCTGCATGGAACCAAGGACACAAGAACAAAACCTTATCAGTTAATCACAGACCAGGTCAGCCACCCGGGGTGGGGGCGGGGAGGGGGGAGGCAGTCTGAAAATCAAGCTGGGGCACCCCAGGGCTCAGTGCAGAAACACCACCTTGGCAATCAGCCCCACAATTCACGACCCAGCTTGGTTGCCTTGGGCTACTTCTCTGTGCCTTAGTTTCTGCATCAGTAAAAAGGCACTACACTTTAAAGGGTGATGGTGAGGATACAAAAAGAATTCACATCAAGTGCTGCCAACGGGTGCGGGAGCCTAGCAGTGGCCCCCACTGCTGTTGCTGTCATTACTGACCCATCATGCCACACGTAGGGAAAAACAGAGGCACGAACTATGCTGCCCAAGGTCACACAGCCAGTTTGCAGCCCAAAGTAGCTAGAATTATGACCAACTGCCTGCCCTAAGGCTACTGCTTTGTAAGGGGAACTGAGGCCCAGGATCATTCAGGTGGCAAGTGGCCATCTCAGATCTGCTTGACTCCAGCCTGGGCCCCTTCCGCACCATACACAGAGGCATGCCATCTCGGGCAGAGAGGGCATGCTCTTCCCAGCAGAGTTATTCTTATCTACCAAAGATGCCTGCCCTGTTCCTAGAAGTTACGTGCACACATAAATGTTACGGCATCAAATAAAGGTCACCCTAAAGATGGAACGTAACTTGTTCTGTGCCACCCCCGTGCTCCACTGCCCCCCTTCTCCCCGAGGACCTTCATGGCAGCTCAGTGAGCTGCTTCCTGGAACATTTACACGGCGCTGGCTCATCCCAGCCCCCCAGTCCTGCCATCAGTCACCGCAGTGACGTTACACACAAAGAATTTTGAGTCAAAGGGAGCTGTAGTGAGGTCGTTACAGCCAGAAAATGTTCTGTTTAACCACCTATTTCCTGAGAAACAGAAAATGTGAGTAAATTTGGGCATAGCCTCTAAGCTCAGAAGAAAGTCCAGAACAGCAAACGTAAGGATGCCTCTTTGGAGACAGAATGCATGAGATCTTAACAGATCTCTATTTAAATCAATCTGCCCTGCCTTGGACCTGGCCACTGTGGGTGTGTCTCATTAAAAAGTCAAAGTCCCACAGGACAGTTCTATCCAGCCAAGTGGCTAATCAGCTACTCAACACTGAGGTCCATGGCAGCACCCAGGAGGAACCAGCTGCATTCTGAAGACACCAGGTGGTGTCCACAAAATCTGGGTTCCCAGAGGTCCCCTTCCCCCCTGGTCCCACGTTCTGCAGATGCAGGTCTGAGCCCCTCACTTCTACTTGTGTGACCCCAGAAGTGACTTGTCCTGTTTCTCTCACGTGGAAAATGAGACACCACTTCCTTTGCAGGGACATGGTGAGGCTTAAAAAGTATGTCTGTTAAAGGGCCCAGTACAGAGCCTGGAACCTGGCAAGAGCTCCAGCCTCAGATGGCTCCTGCCATTTCCTCGTGTCCCGGATCCCCCAGCGTCAAGCACAAATATACACTTCCCCCGGTGCCCCACCCCACAGACTGCCCTGCCAGGCACAGGCCACCTTGCCTTTCTGCCAACTTACTATGTGTCTTCAGGGAAGTCCCTCTCCCTCCATAGACTCAGTTTCCCCATCTATCACACAAGGCTGTTGGGTTCGAATGACCTTGAAGATCCTTTGCTGCCTGACATCTGAACGTGCCAGAGGGCCCCAAAGGCACTCTTGTAACCACCAGTCCTTTAACCCCAGGCCAACACCTGCCGACTGCAAGACTGGATGGAGCAGGGCCCCGGGCTGGCACCCCCCAGTGCTCCCACAGAGCTGATGTTTCACCAAGCCTGGCAGAAGTGATGGGATGTGGCAGCGGGGGTGGGTGTCACTACAGTCCTGAGGTGAAGAACATCCCACCAGCAGACTTGCTTCCCTAAGTCACTGGAGGAGCACTGACCCCAGCCCCGGCTCTCTGCCTCTTGCTGCCCACAGAGGCCACTCTGCCAGGAGAGATCAGGAGAGAGCATGAGGCCCTACAGAAGTCTGGCCTCATTGCTCCCTGCCTCGGCCCCTTACAAAGTGGCCAAGTGTTCTGGAGGCCACACTGGTGGTCAGACAATCAACCTCCAGGAACAGGAGAGCACAAGGCAGAGTCCTAGAGGCAGGGTCTGAATGTGTACCCATATCCTTCAGCAAGTGTCCTATGAGGTCTCTGTAGCCCCATGAGCTAGCACTTAGCACGGGCCCAGCATACACTAAGCACTCAGTCAATCTTGCTTCCTTTCTTCTAATTCAAGATGAATCAAGAGAATGTACTCAAAGACATGAACACCAAGTGAAGAGTAAAAGGGCCACAGAAAGTGGCATCTGTACCCCAAGTCCCAAGACACACAGGGCACCAATTCACTAAGCCTCAAAATTCAGAGGGGCTCCCAATCTACTCCTGGCCACCTTCCTGCACTCTAGACCCATGTGGTGCTCCTGTTCATGTGCCTGTCTTGTGTGGGGTCAGAGGGGACCAACCCACACGACTGTTCTTCTGTCTCTGGACTGTCCTCCTGAGTCAGGAGGACCCACATGGGTGGTTTCTCCCCACTGCCCTGCTCATGCCCAGGGTCTGTCTGAGATGGCAGATAACCTAATAACCATTCACTCCTTAAAGATGCTCCAGGCATTATCCTGATGAAAACAGACCCTCAGGATACTACACGCACGGCCACTTTCTTCTGGATCCCATACAATTGCTTGGACAAGGTTTTGTCGTTAGGGGCCAATAGGAAAACGGCCACAGGGGTAAAGTCTCTGTATTTTCTGTAAACCTGCCACATAGTCCAAGGGACTTTACGCTGCTTCCAGCCACTTGCCAAAGATTTCCTGGTAAGGGGCGAGGGATAATTCTGTCCCCAGGGATCTAACCCACCTCCTTCTACTAGATACTGAAAGCAAGGTGACCCTGCATGCTTCTTTTATTGCCCTGGCTGCTAGGAAGCTCCAGGGAAGTTTTCTATCTCAAATACTGTATTTTTCTTCAGTAGAAATTCCCCATGTTTTTTTTGGGGGGGGGGTGACTTCGTTAACTGTACTTGGTACCGTGTACATGGACTTCCACTGTGCACTTCCAGGTACTTCCTGATGTAGGTGAAACATGAACTGGTGAACTGCGGTGAAGATTCAACACAGCACTGCCCTCCAAGCACCACGATGAAAGCACAAACCTTCCCCTGCTGATGCTGGCTGGGGACCACCCAAGAGTGTCTCCTCTGCCTCCCTGCTGAGTTGCGAGTCTGCTTACCTGTCATGATCCTCTGGGCCTCGTAGGGCTCCATGTAACCAGCACTCTCTCCCTTTCCTGCTTTGCCCCTGAGATCATTCTTGGCATCAAAGGGATCCGAATAGTCATCAGCGATGGTCACCTGCAAGGAGCAAGACGGCAGGAGTATGAGTCCACCTCTGGCTTTCTGCTTCACTTCTTTCACAGCCAGGCTTCGCTCCAACAAACATAAATGGAGCCTGCATCATACCAGCAAGGAGCAGGGGTTGGAGACAGGAAACAGAGCTGGTGCCCTTCCTTGGGGAGCTCCCATTCTCGGAGGGGTAACAGAGAGACCCACACCGGCAGAGCTCCTTGCCTCTGAGCCTATGCCTGCAGCCTGGCTGCTCCAGGCACAGCCCCGTGAGAACAGAAGGGCATCTGGGTAGAGAAGCACAAAGGCAAGAACCTGGAGGGTGTCTTTGGGGAATGTGAGTTGCTCAATTTAAAGGAATGGAAATGGAGGAAAGTTGGAAATGAGATAGCAGAAAGCCTAGAGATGCTGACAGGCTCCTGGTGCTGGCTGAGTCCTACTAGTCTGTCTAGAGATAATTATGTTCAGCGTTCCATCTTCCCCGAATCTGGAACACAAGCATGCCTTGGGTAATCGGACAACAATTTGGTGAGATCAGCGCACTGCAAACATGACCATGGCTGCAGGCAGACCCAATGAAAACACAAAAGCAGCTCAGGGAAGGATAGACTGCCATGGCCAGAAAGGGCCTTCTATAACAGATGGGGAAACTGAGTTCCAGAGAGAGAAGGGGCTTGACTAAGACCCTCAGGCAGATCCTCTGCCTCCCAGGGTCATTCTCCTGGCCTCCTCACTTGTCCATATTTAAGAATACAGCAAAGTCCCATGGCAAACAGACAGGGTTACCTCGGGGTAGGCAGTCAGGGCAGGGAGGGGAGGCCTAGGACTATGCCAGAATCTGAGATTTGAACGTTGCAGAGACAAAGTTCCACATTTTCCCTGGAGGAGGATAAAAATTCTTGGGCTAAGAGTAAACATGGCAGTTTTTCCTCCCATTTCTTACTTCCTAAGCTTCATGAAGGGCACACTTACCAGTGGGGATAGGACAGGAACCCATCCAACCCGTTCCCTGCCACAGCACCCTAGCTCCACCGCAAACTCGCTGTGACCTCTGTTGAGTTCTTTGCCCCCTTGGTCACATCTGGCAAAGGGCAAGTCCTCAGCCTCTCAGTCTGGGCCACCCAGCTGCCTCTCTTGGGAGGGGATAGGTTAGCATTTCTCTCAACCCTTGGGGTTACATGAATTGTTATTTAAATTGTAGGTTTAATTAGAAACCACAGGAGCCTCCTCTCTCTCCCAGCTCCTGGAATGTAAGGCATTTGAGGGGCCTATAAACCCAGGGGAAGGGAAAATCCCCCTTTGTCTGCCTGGTAAATGGCAGCTTGTGGCGGCAGCCCTGGCAGGGTGAGCGAGTGACCTTCAGCTGCCAGGAATGTGATGCCCACGGAGGGACAGCGGGCAGGAGCCCCGTCACAGGAGTGTGGCCGGGGGTTGATGGGAGGCGTGGCACAAGCCGCCACCGCTCCCCGAACAAGAGCAAGCTTATCAGTGAACGACCCGGGGCCAGAGCGCCTGCCACCGCCTGCCACCACTTCATCACGGCTGTGGGTCAGGCTCGGAGTCCCAGAGGGGACACTTCCAGATGCTGACATTGTCATCGTGGCCTTTCTGAGACTCACTGAGCTCAAATGACACCAGGCAGGGGAAAGATGGGGGTGGGGGAGCACTGGGTCTGGCAATGTCTTTCATTTGATATTTCTACTCTACCATTTGCAGAACACATTAGGGAGCAAATTATACACGTGAACCACCATCAGAAGAGCTCAGAGGCTGATCTGATCTAGGGTTTTGTGTCTCAAGAGTTCAAGGAACCAGAAGTCCAAATGGAGAAAACGACGAGCCCACTGGAGATGACCTCTACTCTCATTTCTCTCATCCTGGATTTCCTTACACTCTCTTTTCAACACGAACGGCTTCCGTCTATTCTAGGAAGGGAGCAAATATTTCTCCAAGAAAAGCAAATCATTTTGGGGGGATTAGCTGAGGAAGGGGAGGACAGGGGAGGGAGTGGGCTGCAGTCTCCATAATCTAGAAATCAACATTCCAGCTCCTCTCGGAAGTGCTCTGTAATTTGCAAACAGGGAAGGCTTGCAGGATATAAACCAAATCTTTGTTCGCCCTGGGACAGGAGCTCTGGGAGGCCTTCGGTTCAGCAGACACTATCTGTATTTTCTAATTAAAATGAGATCTGAGCTCAGGTTGTCAAGGGGGACCCCAGCTGCCTGCCCTGCTTACTTCCGTTTCAATAAGAATTTACAAATCCTAAAACCAGGAAAAGCCCCTGGTCCCTGCTGACATATGGTTCCAGTTATACCTGCTGACAGTTGAAAATCCTTCCATTAAAAAAAAAAAAGTTTACAATTCTGTTAGTTTAAGAAGCAAATCGGAAGGTTCCTAAAATGTATATTTAATCAATTTGCTTTCCAGCTTCAAAGTGAGGTTGGTGGAGGGGAGGGAATTTGAGGTTTGAGCAACCTGAAACTTGGCAAACACTCACTGAGCTGTCTGACCTTTCCGCAAAATCATGTCCTGGTTTTTGGAGTAAAAGTTTAACCAGGTCCTAAGAGAGTGGAGCAGGCAGTTAACCAGAGCGCCGAGCGGCTTGCCACAGGCCCCAGCCACCAGCACTGGGCAGTGTGACTGCTGTCCAAGCTGTCCAGGACTCACTGCAAGTCAGGAGGGCCAGCAGGGGGCTTGAGTGGAGGCTGCTGATTTTCTGAGTTAAAAGAAAGGGAATGAGTTTCCCCAGATGAGGGTTTGGGTTCCTGCGGGGGCTGACTCCGCTGTACTTTAAAATGCCCTCCAATCTAACTGAACAATTCAACCAAAAGGGAGCCAGTCATCAGGCTGCAGGTCAGGCCACATACACAAAAAAGAAGCTTTCCTTGATTTCAAACTTGGATTGACAGGCATCGGACCCCTTCAACGTGGCCTGCTCATGGTCTCACGGGGCAGGCGCAGAGCTGAGAGGGGGTCCCAGGCCACTGGTCTCACCACTCCGCTAAGGAGCTAGGTAGCAGCAGAAAGGCAGGCTGTTGGAGCCTGTCAAGCCAGTGAGTCAGGTTTGCTTTCCTGGCTTCCTGGGATGGGTGCAATGGTCCATCTCCAAAAAAGGAGAGTTATGGCTAAACCCTAGGCATGGCTCTTCTTGCTTTCAAATGAAACTGGAGACCTTGGGTCAGCCCAGTGCCCCAAAGGACTTTCATAGGCTTAAAGAGCTGTGAAACTGGGGGTCCTTGAGAGCCCTGCTCCAAACGCTCCTTTCATAATGGCCCACCACGGCCCAGAGGGCTCTAGAATGCCACCATGTCTGCTGCCTTTCTGACAAGGCTCTGTGAGCTAGCTGCAGACTGGGAGTGGGCTCCACAAGCCTCCTTTCTGGTTTGCACATACTGCTCTGTGAAACTGGTTCCTCCCTTCCAGGACGCTGAGGCCTGGGTGTTTTTATCTTGGGAATTTAGCTTTGTGATAGGAAGCAGTCTTCCTGTTCAGGCCCAAAGGGAAGCACTAGAGGAAGATGGGTGTTGCCACTTGACCATACAGGGCCGTTTGCTTTTGTGAGACAGCTGCCCCAGTGGGGAGAACGGGTCCTCTCCACACGCTCTCAGCGGAAAGGTAAATTGGCAGAGCCACTTTGAAGGCCAGCTTTTGGCAAAACCCATGAAAATCCAGAAATGCACATGGATTGACCCAGCAATTTCACTTCTCAGTATTTATTCCCAAATGTACGCAAGGAGACGGGCAAGAATGCTCATTGGAGCACGTAATAATGAGAAACTGTAAGCACCTGCTATATCCATCAATAGGAGAACTGCTAAATAAAACGTGCTAGCTCCACACTATGAAATATTATTCAGGAGATTTAAAAAAAAAAAGCAGTTGCTCTCTATGCACTCACATGTCTCCACAACATAGCTTTGAATGGAAAAGAAGCAGGCTGTGGAATGATAAACATGATACCTCTTCATGAAACATAAAACAGAAACCTTTATCTAATGTAAAGAAAAGGTCTAGGGACATAGAAACTTTATTTTTTTTTTTAATTTTTAAGGTTGGATCAAGAGTTGCACGTTCTACTGAATGAGCAAGCCAGGAATCCCTAGGGAGATACAAACTAAGAAGATACCTCCTCTGGGACGAGGGAAGGACTGAGATCGGGTGGTTAGAGGAAATCAAAGGAGACTTGTCTGTAATGTTAACACATTTTTCAAATAAGGAAAACTTATTAATGTATTTACACGCAAAACTAAACTTTTAAAAAAGCACTCCTCCCCATAGGCTATTTTTGGTACAGTAGATAAACTGTTTCCCAAATTTGCCTGAAGACAGGAATGGCCTGGAACGCTTGTTAAAAAAACAGATTCCTAGCCCAATAATTTGTGTATTTAATAAGTAACCCAGGTGATTCTTACCAGGAAAGTTTGAGAAGCCTTAAGTGAGAGCCAGCACCCTCCCCCACCAATCTGAAGCTAAGCCTCCAGATATCACTCTGGAATTTCACTTTCCCCAGGTATTTCTCAGCCATGTTCATTAAACTGAGGCAAGAAGTCGATGTTAAATGCAGTTCTCGCTTGCTTTCTTCCCTGGGGGTTAAGTGGAGTAAGAGATGACCCAACATGCCTTGGTCCATCTCCAGAATCTAAGACGTGGAGGTCATGGCAACCCTGTGCAATTCTGAGGGCTGGCCCCAGATGAAGCAACACAGCCTGGGCAGCGGGGAGAGGGTCACCAGGCAAGACCCTGCCCTGCCCCACCCCGCCTCAGGAGGGGAACCTGGGCCCGACGACAGTCCTGGCCATGAGCATGTGCCAGGCTCTATATTCTGAAGCATAGACGCTTTTGGGCTCTTGGCACAGGAAGATGGCACAGCCCCAGAAAGGGCTGACAGGACGGCGCAGAGCAGCCATTGCTGAAATGCAGGGAGCATCCCCGATAAAATCACTCCAACTCTGCTGTAAAGAAAAAAAAAATGACAAGAGGGGGAACAGCCATCACCTTCCAGGAGTGGG